CTGAACCGTGTAAGAACTAATCTGAATCGAATTGGAAAATTTTTCATGGTGAACTATACTGTTTTTTCAAAATTGAATTGTGCTATGACCCAAACTGAACTATTTGAATTGAAACTTTTTTTTCATTGGTATACAGAAGATTGAAAATTGATTCAGTTTTTATAGTCGTTTGGGTTGAATTTTTTATAAAAATAAACCAGTTCAACTTTTTGTAAAAATGATTTAAATTTTGTAATTCAATTCTATTATCAAATAAATCAGGACCAACATAGTAATAAGGAATTAGAATAATATACACAAAATCTTATATTGGAATCTCACCATCATTATAATTTTATGAATTAAAAAAAAAAGGATTCAAATCAATTCATTCCTATTGACCGGGACACACCATACTGTCACCAATTTCAACTGATTGAGCCCCAACACCAAACTACATCAGCATGGGCATCCTCACCTGCTATTTACAAAGGACATGATGCTCTTCAAGTACATTGTCATCTACACGTTACACATGCACATTGTTAGAAATTTTCAAGTGGTCGTCACCGCTGTCTTCACCAGTTGAATTTAAAACAATTTTCTTTTTCACAGTTCGAAATGCCGCAAGCCAATTTCCTTACTCAACTAACATTGAGCTTGCACAGAACAAATACATTGAGCCTATCTAACACGGTTCCATAATTATTGGCGACTACTGTGGGATCTTTATTGAAACTTACGTTTTAGTCAATATTGAAGTAGCAAGCTAATACAATGATATAAAACAACACAAAATGAAGATGTGCCTTACAACTTAAAAGGGTTACTATTGCACTCTATATTGCCTCACTCGATAGGAAAAAAAGATACCTAGAGCTTCAAGTAGTATGCATTAAAATAAAGAACTTCACGGCGATAACATAAACTCCCAAACTTTAGTTGCGTCCTTTAGATTAAAGTGACAGAACGACAGAATTCATTCACGCAGTCTCGGCCCCAATTTAAGCACTGTGGCAGCATCTCCAGTTTTGAACAACCGGCAATGTTGGCTTTCGGTAGAAATGAAACATGTTCTCAAGGAACATTCATCACTTGTATTGACTGCAACATATCTGAGACAGCAATGACAAGGTCACCTGATTTGATCAGATTTCTGGCCTTAAGCAATGAAAATGTTCTATTAAGATTGCTCTCCATATCATCTGAGAAGCTCAGGCGGAAAGGTATCAAGCCCCACTGGAGATTCAGACGCCTACGCACCGATGGAGTGGTAGTAAAAGCAAAGATTGGGCAGTCAGGACGGCAACGTGACAATAGAGATGCCATGTACCCTGTCTTTGTGTACACAAAAAGCGCATCCACCTCTAAATTATTGGCTGCCAAAGTTAAAACTCAGATTAACAAACACCATCAAACAACTAAAAAGCAAACAAAACTGAAAATTAAAAACAAATGAGCTTTTGGGAAGAGACTGAAAATTATGAGTGAAACAAGTGTGATAACCAGTCGGTAATCATAATATGGTGTTTCAGATATGAAAACTATGAACTGTGAATTCCTCGTCAAATGATATCAATGATTATGAACACATTGAACAGAATAAGCCTCTTTTATTATGGAAACAAAAAGAAACACAATACTGAAGTATTATTAAAAAAGATTTTCAGCATATATGTTTCTTTAAATAGAAATTCTTACAGATGGTTGAAGGTTCATTACCTTGATCGTAAAACTTAACAATTGGATAGTAGTATAGCAACCTATAAAAATAATTTAACTTTGAAATTTTTAACAGTATAGACCGATGCAACAAATCAAATCAAATATGCAACAGTAAAACTGTAAAAGTATTAAAAATAAATGTAAATTTAAATTATAAGATTAAAAAATAAGTAAAACAAAGCAAGTTTAAGGCTTGAGGGCAGCTTACCCATTTTAGCAGCTGAACTGCAGATTTCTTCAGATATTTTTTCTGAAAAATAAGACCCAACTGATGGGAGCAACATAGCTTCATAGCGTTTCTGTTCCCTCCACCATCTCTCAATTCTCAAACTGACACTCCTTAAAACAGTTAAAGCCTTCTCAGGGTACTGGCCCATGGCTGATTCACCAGAAAGCATCAAAGCATCAGCTCTTTGCCTAACTGCTTCAGAAACATCTGCAACTTCAGCTCTTGTAGGTGTAGGGTACTCAATCATGGATTCAAGTAGCTGAGAGGCAACAATGACAGGCTTGTTCAATTGCCTGCAAAGTTGAACAATCCTTTGTTGAGCAGATGGAACCTGTTCTAAAGGTATTTGAGCTCCCAAGTCTCCTCGTGCCACCATAGCCCCATCTGCTGCTTGAATGATCTCCTCTAAGTTCTTCAATGAGTCAATACTTTCTATCTTTGCAATGACAGAAATGTCACTGCATCACCAGATTCATCACATTACAGTATGTTAATCTCACTCCCAATATCAGCATATTAAAAAATATATATAATAAAGGCAACAATTAAAACATAACATAAAATTGTTTGGAGTGTTAATCTTAAGAGGATTAACATTAAAAGTAACATTACAGAAGCACAGAACATTCATTGCTTTGTCCCTGAACATGTGTTATGTGCAGTATTTTTTGTCAAGAAACCAGAGACCACATTTTTGTGTACTGATCTGCAGTTACTTTTCTTTACAATAAGCTGATTGAGATTTTTAGAGAATACTGGTATCTTCTAATGGTTGACATCAGTTCCTCTCAATTCATTTCAGAGGTTTTCGCTTGTGAAAAAAGGTTCAAATTGTACATTTTTTTGTCTTTGCAGTTCTTCGGTCATGGAATGCTAGTATTTTTAAGGACATTTATTTAGTTGTTTGGCTCTAGACTTGATTTAGGACCTTGGTTGTCAATCACGGGTTGTGCTACTATAGTGGCATCACATTGGTTTTTAGTGTTGTGGGCCTTGCAGCTGCTATAGCGGTGGAAATCATGGTGTTTCACCTGACCTGAGCCACTATTCCGAAGCCATCCGAAAACCTAAATATGCCCTAACTTATTAATGTTGCAGAGGCAGGTTTGGTTAGGTGCATTTCAAAAGGGTTTGGAAGAAATATCAGCAAAATTTTCCTGTGTCTACTCATTTTCTGTGCACTCTCTTCTCTATGACCCTATGCTAATGTGCATCTCATCAACCATTGCTCTCCATTAACTTCCCATCCACAACCTGGTGTTTTACGGCAAATTCCTGCTCACTGTCCACTGACCTGCTTTTTTGGCAAAGTGCTCTATTTGCCCTTTTGTTCTCACTTTCCACGTGTTGCTGATGTTCTCGCCTTGTAGCTAGCTTTTGTACTGTGGTTCTCCCAAGGTTCTCATTAATTGCTATAGAGCCTCCCATCATGTCTCTCAACTGCAAACAAGTGACACATGGTGGTGACGCTGGGATTGCAGTGTTCACCTGGGACTAGTCAAAGGAGCTAGTGCACAGCCAACCCGCATGAGTGTCGGGGTTGCGGGGCGTCGTGGGATGTTAGGATCCAATTGCAAGATATGAGACTTGAGTCCCACATTAGAAGTATGGGGATTCTAGTGTGGGGATTATAACACCTTGGGCTCTCCAACTATAATAGCTACCTTTTGTTGTGTGGTTCTCCTGAGGTTCTTATCATAGCTTTGCGCTTTGTTTTGTTTTCTTGAGAGGATGTCTTATCCTCTTTCTTTGTACTTTTCTCCTCTTTAATAAATTTATTGTTCTACATACTACTGACAAAAGTAAATGGAATAAACACCAACAAAAGGAAAAGAAAAGCACAGTACAAATAATGAAATGATGATGGGTTTAGCTGCGCATACTTGATACCAATGAATTTAAAGGAGACAAAAGAATTGAGAATAGGAACCAGAGAAAGGATCAGAAACTCTTGGTGTTTTAAGGGAAGGCCCCTTATACTTTTTGGGTTCGGGTAAGGTGATGACCTCTGGTGCCTCACTGAAATTCATGTGGTATTCAACCCAAAAAGAAAGTTTCATTGAAGGTTCAAAAGGCATGCCAAAGGCACTGGGACAAGAAGCACCAGAAGGGTTAGAGGCCTCTTTGGTGTTTGAGGAAAAGCCCTTTTATCAGATGCCCTGGTTTGGATAAGTCACTTGCCAGAAAATCTAACTGATATGTAGGTCCAAGGAAAATGATCAAGGCAGTCCCAAATATTGAGAGATAGACAGAACGATAGATTTGGAGGAGACGATACTGAATCTGATATAATTCCATAATTCATATAGAACTTTGTAAATGGTGCTACTTGTTAATCTAGTATAAGCATATTTGTCAATGGTGAAATAATAATAGTACTAGAAATGATATGTTGATAATAGTTTTAATAAGAAATAAATAAATAAAAAGTTCAGCACATACCTATCACGAGATCGTGCAGCAATATAGCTTTTAAGATGAGTAATAACCTCAGCAGACTTGACAAATGAAATTGCAATAAAATCAACACCCTCAGCAATACCAAAATCAATGTCTAACCAATCCTGCATATGGAAAATCAGATAAATAAATTACATTATTGCGGACAGATAGTCTTCTGATCTGATTAAAGAAAATTTGGCATCAATACATGAATCGCCTAAAATCCAACATGCATGGTTAATAGCATAAAGCCCTCAAAATTTGCATGATAATTATTAGATTATAGAAATCACCACAGTTCCACAATGCACCATGATATATCTTGCCATCACCATATATAATGCAAGGTTCAAATTTTAAGATCTTGGTCATGGCCTTTTCATCAACGTGAACCAAGATCAATGCAATAATAGTCTACACTCTACATGTTTCCCCAAAGCCTACAATGGGTGGATAATAGCACAAAATTCAGTAGTCAATTTTCCGTTGGTGATACTGCTAGGGTGGAAGGGAAGGGAAGGAAAAAGTGGTTCAGGATAGTTAGTGCAGTTAGTCAGGTACATTTAGAGTGAGTAGCTAGGGGATCCGATATATAAATTGGGGGAATATAGCTCCAATTTTGGCTCTTAATCCACCTGTCATAGACTGGTATATCCAGGTCATACTCAAGCATGAATTGCTTGAGCACCACCTTCACAAACTCAAACCAAGTTGCTTGAGGGTTGCAATATTCCGTCAAAGCCACCACTTGAAAGTGCAAGCTCTAGAGCCTTCACAGCCGTTGATAGCCTCTCTGCTTTAAGTGTTCATGCTGCAGCAAAGTACTCCTCCACCTTGATCACCACTAATGTGCTTTACTTCCTTCAAATTCTGCATTTTTCAATCTTCTACAATATCCTTGTTCCTCCTGTTCTTCCTTCCTCTTCAATGCTCAAACACCTTCCAATAATTTTCAAGAATTTCAACCTCTCCATGCTTTTCCACTTCTTTCATCCTTGAATCCAGTACCCAGTACCACAGCTCCTGACTGGAGCTTTGAAACCATATGATAGGAGAAAAATATTATGTAAGAGAAAAATACTCAGATAACAGGGCTCTGATTACAAGGGGAATTTACAGGTATAGAAACTGAAAATGAAATAAAACCAATCACAGAAGTAAAACTTCTATGCCCTGTGGCAACAGCCCTACTAAAACTATCTAAATGATTGCCTACCTCTCTCATTTCTCTCCCTCTTCCCTTATATCTAAGGCAGCATCTAACTTTACCACATGCTTCCTACACTTGTTGCCACTTATGCAAGTTTGTTATAGCCTAAATAACTCACTCTGTTACACTTCTGACATCCCATATAAGACTGCCTAACACACAGTTTAGATTTAAAAGCATTGGCTCTGCATGATATAACTCTTCTAAATTCCTAATCTCTCAAAACTTTTATTAATAATAATAAATAAATAAAAAGCAGTCCAGACAAATGACTTAAGAAGTCATTTCTATAAATAATTTGTCAGGCTCAAGAACTCACTGTACTGATCTAGAAAATCATGCATCAATTCAAGACAAAGATCACAAATTCTGGATACTTAGGGTGTGTTTCGGTAAACACTTCAATCAAATGCTTGAATAGTGTTTGTCGAGTAAGTGCTTAAAGTTGACTCTATAATCAAAGAAGAAATAGGGTCAAACTGTTTTCATAAAGGTGGTAAGTTATTTTCATAAGTTACTTTGGAAAGCAAATTAAGCTGAAAATAGATTATGGACATAACATATCATAAGTTATCTTCTTAAGTTCACCCAAATTGACACTTAAACAAATATTTATGTCATAATATATGTCCAAATAAGCTATGTAAATAAACTCCTCCAGACACACCCTTAATCAAGAAAAGTGCTGCTTACATGACATGCCTAGAAGTAGAACCAACACAAAACTATAGAATTCAAAAAGTTCAAATTAAAACAGAGTGCTTTTGAAGTATTTCACTCATGTCATGTAAAAGTGAAAACTAGGAAAGTATTAAATAACTAAGATACTAAGAACGAATTTACCCAAATGAAAGCCAAAGCTTCTAAGGGGGCAAATCAACCTTTACGTATAAAGAATGAGAAAATGTAATATATACAAACTTGTTATGGGATATGAAAAGAAGGCAAGAGATTCAGACCAAGAAAACTGTATCAAGAATGAAAGAAAAGTTTTGGATATTTAGCAAGGAAGATCAAGGAGTTACTGCTACAAGGTACTCAATCAACAAGATGCAACAAAAATAGACTTGCAGAACCAAAACTAGAGAATATCAAAGTTATACTTTTATTTACATAACTTAAGAATTTGATTTAAAGAGAGGACTGGAGAAGATGGACAATGGCGTGCAGCTGAACAAGAATTTGAGGCACTGCTTTTCAATCAATAGGGATTTTTTCCCTTTTTTTCTCTGTTTCCCATTTTGTCTTTGTACTTATTAGACCCATTTGTTCTTACCTCACTCTGAGCTATTGGTAGAGTGTCTCCAGTGGCACACAGTGGTAACAGTGAGCTATAAGAGCAAATCAACAAGCGATGACAAAGTGTGACACTAATGTGAATTTCGTTGTTTTGAGTTTGTTGGTTTCTTTTATGACAAATGTTTTCACAATAATATAGAGATAATTTGCTCTGTTTATGTTCTCTGTAATGTACTGTAACTTATGTATTTTTATCCTTCATATAATTTTGTCATTTTTATCATATGAAATATGAAATGCTAACTTCTTATATACACTTATCAAAAGAATTTCCTACAACAATACAATAGGTGCAAGGTTTGCAGAAACGGTCAACTTGGGTCCACTACTTTTTACCTTGGCATTAAGCATACAAGTCAGCCAGTGGCACATGTAAGAGTCCATGCGCATGTCTTTTGCAGAGACAGGGGATTTGGAATCAAAGAGTTTTCCTTTTTAAGCAGGGATGATATGGAATACATGTAATGCAAGTTAACAATGTTTTGGAAGTGAAAATTCGGAAGTATATTGTTCTGTAAGTTGCATGGTATAGGTATCTTGGATACAACATACAAAGTGATGGTGATGCCAACTTTAATTATAATTTATGGTAGAAAAGTGCTTATCAAACTTATGGAACATCCTATTCAGCAACAATATAACCAGCAATGCTCTATAGCAGTGACTAGTGAGAGTTGGACGATAAAGTGTGAACAAGGGCATAGAGTTGAGAAACATGGTAAATCCTATTAATGAGAAAAAGATGGAAACATGCCTAATGTAGTTCAGCCATGACTTTGGGAGAAGAAGACCAGCAAAGAGCAAGACTCAAATGAGAAATTTTGATCAAAGTTGAAGATTGTACAATTAAAAGGGGCAGAACCAAACCTAAGAAAATTTTAAAAGAGAACCATTTAAAAAAAAAAAAAAAACTCTTTATTTGGGTCAGTAACCAAATAAAAATTACATTATACACAATAATAACTATAAAAATTTTGTATAACTTGAAAAAATCGTGATTGCTGTAGTTCTAGGGGCCTATGTGCAGCCATTGCTCCCAATTGTGAACTTGGATTGCATAACACAATAATGGTAATACTATAGGCTACAATATTAGCAAGCTTTGTTTGTTTCTTCGGTGAATTGGAAGAAATTAGCAATAAAGATATGCAATGCAATGCAAGTAAGGAAAAGGCAACCTTGGAAGAAATTGTAGGAAGCATAGCATTCCTCTCTCGCACTAAGCTACCATTCCTCCAGAATGTGAGATTGGCCCTGGGCAGCAACAAGCCAGGATCAGTACACCTGCACTTGACATCCGGTCCAATTTTCTGAATGACCTCAAACCTAACCATCCCTCCATCCACCAAAAGCTCATCCCCCACTTTCACATCTGCCACACACATTCCATTCCATTCCATTAGAACAAACAACAACTAATAATGTTTGGTCAACACAGTGCGTGAAAAAAGAAATGATGAAAAGGTATGGTGAAGTAAACCTTCAGCGAAGCCTTCATAATTGACATTGATGGTGCGTTGAGGGAGAGGCGAATCGAAGGCCCTAACACTGAAGGTCCAGATCTCACCGTCCTGCAAGAAGAGGTGATATGAGAGAGGGAA